CTTTGTAATCACTACTGAAAAAGGAAATAGCAGAGAAAAGGAAGTTGTAAGCCAAAATATTCAGCACTTATGGTTCCATGAAGATTAATGACTTAATACTACTTGGCGCATGTGGCAAAGTTAAAGTATAGGGACCCAAGGGCGGTGTGTGTGTGAGAGCTAATGAACGCACCAAAGACCTTAGAACGATTGAACCCCAAACTAGCTGCATATCCTGTTTAATATTTTTACATTTCTTTCATCATTGTCTAACGAATATGGTATTTTTTTTATCTAGTTCCACTAATTTTCTCTGGTTGCTCGTTTCAAGATTATTTGTGCATCTGTGTTCCCCTCCCTCCCTGAGTCACTATTCTTTTTAACTTATTATTATTGTTCCCTTGGGTCCCTGGTGGGACGCAAGGCTTCAACAGCACATCTCCACCGTGCCCTATTTTCTACAGTGCGTCGGTAGGACAGTGGTTAGGACTCTCGCCGACCATGCATATGGTCCGGGGTTCGATCCCCTGCCGACGCACACCTGATATCTATGGTCGGCCTGCAAAATTTTGGCTACCGATATCCATGCTGAAAATGTCATACTTGTACTGAAAATACGGTGTGGCATCAAGCTGTTATCGAAAAAAGAATAATAAAATCTGGGCCCACGACTACTCATTGTCTCTCATTTCTTCCTTGTACGATCGCCCCCATGTCAGCCTCGGCCCTCAGCCCAGCTCGTCGTTTTCCATATGGGTTCCATTCGAGCGAAGACCTTGCGCTCTATGTCATTCGACGATCTCCTCAGTGTGCGCTAATTCCTTTTCCATTTTCTCCTACATATATGTTGAGCAATCGGTTCTTGGTAATTTTTTCTGGCCTACCATTTGATCTTGAGTGTGGAGCCAGCGAAGGTGGCAACTGGTGATTGAAATGCTTTTTGTGACGCTGGCGCCAAGTTTCTGACCCATATAGAAGAACTGACTGACTTAACACTGGTGTCATTTTTGAAACGGCGTTAGGGGTGGTGATGACATAAGATTCGGTTGTGAAACTCACTAATTAAGGATCAGTTACACAATAAATAAATAGATCAATTAGACACCTCTTTCTAAAAAAATAGTTAAAAGTTACGGTGCGAAGAATAATTTACGCATCAGCTGTCGTATCCCTTGTGTATTTGGGCGACTAAAGTTATTGTGTAACTGTGTGCATATTGTGTGTGTGTCCCCGCGACTGTTCTTCTAATAACTGCGTTATTCACACCCTCCCATATTGTTTCCCTTTTTTCCTTTTTTTATAGATAAATCTCCCTCTGAAAGTTTCGATATACTGACGAATTCATCTCAAAATATGTCAAGTTTAAAAGATTGGTTATTCTGTGATCCGGTAAGCGCGTTTATATATGTTGCCTATTTTAGTGTGTGTGTGTATTTTATCATTATTTTCGATAAAGATTTTGTCATGAACTAAAGTATCAGTCAGAAAATGTTTGAAAATCACGAAGTACACTGGAAAACTTTTTCTCCTTGGTTTCAGGACTCTTCAGCAGTGCTCATCTATAAAGTCTAAAAGGGGTCTAACCCCGGGATCTACTGGTTATAAGACAAGCTGGTTGATCATTCAATGATTCGTGGACTGTAAATTCTGTCGATTGACTGACAATATAGCGCTACCCCTGAAACACCAGGGTTCGAACCCTAGCAATGGGTGCGTACTGTTGAAGAGTCCCGAAGTAAGACGAAACAGCTGAATGTCCGGTACTTCCAGATGGTTTTCAAATGGTCTTCTAACCAATATCAGTTCATGATGAAATCCTGAAGATGTTGACAAAACATTTTGAGCAGAAAACTTAATATGCTTTAGGCATATTCGATTCGTCTCTGTCAGATGTTAGATGATGCTGCAGAACTGAGCCACATTATCTCCCAGTTCAAAGATATAAGGAGTGGTGTGGTTTGGGTGTGTTAACTGCTTCACTTATTTGGGAATTTACATCAACCCTAATGGACTAATGAAGATAGCTGACAAAATCTCTCAGCACAGATACAAAATGTTCGTGTAGCATTCATTTTCCAAATGACGTCATGTCTGGTTTAGACCTGATATCCAATTATCGATCAAAAGACGTTTATGTAATACGCAGCAGTTCACTGTATCCTTCATCATAACTGTGAGATATAACTGTTGAAATTGGAAGACTAGAAAGAGACTAGCTGTCTTTAGTCATAGATTTTGAAGGTAGCCCTGGAGTTTATAGATAACGAGGACTAGTCGGGGGTTGGCGATGTGATGTTGCATCGATTGACATGGCTAGGACACGTGTTTCAAATCTTTAAATATTCCCAGCTTAACAAACGCACTATTGAGCATCTTCCTTCATGGTTCGGAAAAGGTCAAATAAAATCTATAAGAAGTTCTATTTTGGTTCATTTGATTGGTAGTGGTCACCAAGTGGACAAAATTAGTGCCGCCTTCAAAGTTATCTATTGCATTCCATCAAGTCTTTCGAGCGGAATTCGAACGCATCCTTTACACAGCCGAAGCTATGGGAATTTGAGAGAACAATCCTAGTGTCTTTGCACACAACAAAAGAAGTTTGTTCTACCTTTGTCTCTCCCTTGCTTGCCTAGGTGAATTCTATTCAAGACCCTCCTCCCACCCTTTCTTATTTTCCATTTCCTTCGTACTTTTATAATATTTATTTAAACTCTGATTATCTGTCCACTTCGCCTTTTAAGATTTGACCTAATTTATTTATTTATTGAATTGTCTACATATACATATATTACTGTCTTTGCTTTTCCTATCGCCACCTGCATATAAACTTTATTATCAATATTTTGTTATCTTTATAATCATCGTTATTAACTATGTTCAAAACATTTACCACATTATTATTATTATAATCATTATTATTATTTGATCCACAAAATCACCATCATTAGTTAGAATTTTTATATATAAATCTATGTAAATTAGAGTAAAGCCTGGAGAAGATCTAATTGAAAACGACAATATTATTCGCTTATATGTCTTGTTCCAAGACACGTGTTACACATTCTAAGCTATCGCCTGCCTCATCAATTAATGTTAGCTGTGACATTGGATTAATAAGTTTGAAAGGGAAGGGTGTAGCTAAGCCAAAACCATGGTTTAAGCCAACGACGTATGAAGTAGTGTTGTAGACTGCCTGGTTAAGGTTGTCGAGATGATAAGAATCAGTCATTGTTGACCTTGGGGGGCTTTTAGCGATATGTCTTAAAATCGTCCTCAGTGTGGCGTAGATGCCACTGACAGTCTCCATACGAGCTCTTTGTATACACTATCAGATATAGTGGTTGTTCACAGTTATGTTTCTTATTTTATTATTATTATCGTTCCCTTG